CACGCACGCACGCGCGTGCGCGCTCACACACGCGCACTCGCACGCGCACGCCCACGCCCACGCCCATGCACAGACGCACGCGCACGCGCACGCGCACGAGCAAGCGCCCCCGCTCGCGCTAGCGCACGCGCACGCGCACGCACACGCACACGCACACGCACACGCACACGCACACGGACACGCACACGCACACGCACACGCACACCCCCACCCACACCCGCACCCGCACGCGCACGCGCATGCACACGCAAACGCACACGACCAGGCCCAGGCCCAGGCCCAGGCCCAGGCCCATGCACACGCGCGCGCACGCACGCGCATGCGCGCACGCACACGCACACGCACACGCACACGCACACGCGCACGCACGCGCGCACGCACGCGCACGCACGCGCGCACAGGCGGCCACACGCGCCCCCACACGCGTCCGCACACGCGCACGCGCGCGCGCGCTCGCACGGGCGCACACGCGCGCACACGCGCACGCGCTCACGCACACACGCATGCACGCGTGCACGCGCAAACGCACACGCATTCGCGCACACACACACACACTCACACGCACACGGACACGCACACACGCAGACACGTCCACACGCCCACACGCGGCGCACAAATACAATCGCAGACAAAACACACGCACATAAACACACACACACACAAAGACACACACCCAAGCAGACAACCACACACACACCCGGAGACTCGCACACACACACACACAAAGAGACACACACACACACAGAGACACACACACAGACACAGCTACACACACAGACACGGAGACCACGCGCACTGAGAAACAGGCGCACAGAGACAAAGACACACGCACGACGCACGCGCACACAGAGACACACACACAGAGACACACACACAGACACACCGAGAGACACAGAACGCACACACACACACAGACACACGCACACAGAGACACACGCACACACACACACAGACACACATGCACACACACACACACCACACACGCACACAGACGCACACACAGAGACACCCAGACACACAGACACACACACACATACACAAACACAGAGACACACACACACACGTGCGCCACCCCTTTCTGCCATCTTCATGGCGTGATTTCAGACAACGACGTAGCAGCTGTGCTCCCAACACGGGTGTGTGCGTGTGTGTGTGTGTGTGTGTGTGTCCTCCGTGTTCTACTGGCTCGCTAGGCCGCCACCATGGCGCGAAAATGCCCGGGTGCCGGGCCCCTGGCTACGGACCGAGGTGAGCCACAACCTTGTTGACTCTTTATCATGGGTGTGGTTGGACCAGTGTTGATTGGCTTTGAGCCGCAAGTCAACTTCGATCCTGCTTTGGCGTCCCTTTGAAACACTCGCGAAACGGGCACTTGCAAGAAAAGCGCCCATGATACAGGAGGTTGTCGCTGGTGGTACCAGGGAACTGTGCAGTTTTGTCTACAGAGCAGTTGAGGTTGGCCCCAAGCCCACTCCCGGTTTGCCTCCTATGGGCCCGAAAGCTTGCAGTGGAACCGGCAGGAAACTAATGAACCATTTGCAACGGTGCATGTGGGTCTGTTTTCTTTGAGGGTGCCCTTTCCTTTTTGTGGTTTTAAAGGGACACCAAAAAGAAAACTGCCATTTTGAATGCACCCGTGGTGTGCCCACTGTGAACAGCCCCATTTTTCCAAGCGATTTTCTATACCAGCGGTGCGGCATCCTCTGATCATTCAGGATGCCTCCCTGCCCAAGCAGCTGGAGGCGCGCTTTGCAAGTTTGCTTTGCGTGCGTGCATTGCCTTGCCTTGTGCTGAGTTGCCTTGTGTTGCCTTGCTGTTTGCATTGCGTTGCGTTGCCTTTGCTTCTTGCGTTGTGTTGCTCTGCGCGTTTGTGTTGCGTCTCGTTGCTTTGCGTATCGTTGCGGTACGTTTCCTTGCTTGGTGTTGCGTTGAGTCGTTGTGTTGCGGTGCTTTGCGTTGCGTTGGTTTGCTTGGTTTGCCTTGCCGTGCCTTGCCTTGTTTTGTTTTGTTCTCTTTGTCTGCTTGCTTGCTTGTTTTGCAATGTGTTGCACTGTATTGCTTCTGTTGCATTGTCTTGCATTGTGTTGTTTGTTTGCTTGCTGGCTCCTTGGATGTGTTGTTTGCTCTTTGGCTACATTGCTTGCTTGCTTGCTTGCTTGCTTGCTTGCTTGCTTGCTTGCTTGCTTGCTTGCTTGCTTGCTTGCTTGCTTGCTTGCTTGCTTGCTTGCTTGCTTGCTTGCTTGCTTGCTTGCTTGCTTGCTTGCTTGCTTGCTTGCTTGCTTGCTTGCTTGCAGGTTTGCTTGCTTGCCTGCCTGCCTGCTTGCCTGCCTGCCTGCTTGCCTATGTTTCTTGCTTAGACTCACAACAAACGCAGATGCACATGGTCTCCCCGTGCCGCCAGCGTGGCAGGGAGTTGATTGTAAGGAGGACTCCGCTTGAAGAAGTGCCGGTTCAATCATCGTCACACCGCCTCAGCGGTGGTGTGGCTGGTGGCTTGGAGGTTAGGAGGTGATGGAATCCCAGCTAACCCAGTTCGCGCCAAGATAAGAATAACAAAAAAAACAAGTAAGTTCGAGGGAGAGCAAAACAACCGGCTATGTTCCAAGTCTTTGGTTTCCTTTTGGCCAAGGCGTTGTTCTTCCCCTCGCCCGTCACGACGGGCGAGTCCATATACCCGGAGCTCCGTTTGGCGGCCAGGTGCGGCTGCAGGATGAGCGGGGGCTCTGGTCAGTGGCGTTGGAGCAATCCGAGGCGTTGAACACTTCGCTGTGGTCGTCAAAACCAATGGACCCCAGGTTTTAGTCCTGGGAAAAGAAGGGGGCCCTAAATAAGTGGCGGTGGTTGTCGAAACCGTTTTGGGATCCCATTTTGGGTGGCTGAATTCACCACCCATTTTAGTCTATACCATTTTGGGGATTGGGTGAATTCACCATCCAATTTAAGAACCTATTTTAGTGGGGATCACTGGGGGTACGATTTGGCTTTTAATCCAAAACGGGTTGCCCTGGTAAACAGAAACATGGAAAACCCCTAATTGCTTAATTTTGACCCATACCCATTTTTGGGGGACTTGTCAGAGCAATGTTGGGTCCAGGATCATTTGAACATCCTGGATCCAAGACTGCTGCCCATAAAGATGCGATCTTGGATCTTGGATCCTGGGTCCATACACGGTATCCAGAAGTCTAAGTACGTTATGCAGAACTCTGTATCCGCACCCCGTTTTGCTACTTTTTTTGGACAAGCATCCTTGAAGGGGACATGCGGGAATGGGGGCGGGGGGGGAGGGGACGTACCACGTTTTGTAGTAGGTATATTTGAGGGTGGCCTCTCCACTCCCTTCACTGTCCTTGGTAGGTTTTTGACAAAATTTGTCGCGTTTTAGGCTGGCTGGAATACTGACTGGGAGGCTCGCTTTTTGGTTTCCAGGTCGAAACGTTGCCTAAGAGGACAAGATTTGGAATGAGCTCGACCTCCCGAATTGGGGGGGCTGTGGGCTTCCTTGCCAAAGCAACACATTATGACATGGTTGAACATTTGCCGACCATAAATACCTTTCGTTGAGTCACAGGAACAGCAACAACCACATGAGCAGTGAGAGCAGCAGTAACGGCCGCAACGCACCAGCACGAGCCAATGCATTCTTCCCTCAAAACAAGTTTTTGGTGGACAGGAATATCCATGTACATGATGGACAAAGGTTCCCAAAACAGCAGTCGTGACCGGGTTTGCGGCAGCGCACAGGCGGAGACGTCTCGCGCGTTGCAGGGCTTGCCTGAGCCTGAGAATAGCTGGGTATAAGCTATATGAAGCACACAAACTTCACCAAGTTTTCCTAAAGCTTCCCCCTCAAAGGCCCAAACAGATAGCCTCGAAAAAACACGTACACACCAGATGGCGCGCCTTTCTCTTGGCGAGAAATCCACCTCGGTTGATAAAAAAGGGGGAAAAAGGCGTGATGGATTGCATCTATGTCAAGCTACCCAACATTCCGTGCAAGTTATGTCGAGCTCACATGGGGATTAACCGAGAGCGACCATGATGTAGGTCGTAGAGTCCTGATAGTAATTTGGCCAGAACATTGCAATGTCCAGACATGGCAACTGAGCTTGACAGGTTCCAACTGCCGGGCTCAGCTCATTTGACGGAGCGATTCAGAGTTCAGATGATTTTCAGGCGAGCCCAGATTCAGGTAATCCGAACAGGAACATGCTCCATCAGATTGCAGCCGGGGATTCTTCGGATTTCAGGAGGACCGCACGACCGCACGAGGATGTCAGATCTTTGGCCCGCGCCAGCTTTCCGCGCCGCAGCCACGTTGCGGAAGCTTGTGGTTGTGTCCGTGAATAGGGACCCCCTTGAATGGTGCGACCTGGAGACCAACCCCTATGACAATGAAGTTTCACAGGGACTTTTCTGAAAGGCTTTTTCCAAAGTCCAATCAGATAGAAGTTATACCCGAAGTAGCCGCCTAGCCACGCAACCGAGGTCACATTTCCTGATGTCTATCATTTGCGGATCCTCGACATTGAACTTTTTGGACCTCGATGGCCTGTGACATATCCCGCAAGCTCACTTTTAGCCACGCCAAGCAAAGCAGGACACCAAGGAATTCATGGATTTCTCATCTTGGGACATGACAAAATTGGGATACCCTAACTTTGTGCAAAGAGTTTCATCCATCTGGGATATGGACCGCAGGTGTTAGCCCTTTCCATTAACCATCCATTTTGGGCATCTATTTTCCATTTCAACACCTTGGCTCAGACAACCAAAAATATGGTACCAACATGTTTACCGGGGTAGACTTAGGATACATTCTACCTTTTACCAGTGCCTCAAACTGAAGCAAACAATCAAACATACATTCTACAGGTCCCCACTCGAGTTATGTTTAGTGATGATTATTTCTGGTCAAATCCAGTTTCATCAGCCCCCGGACTCGTCATTCACCCCTCGCAGCGGCCGCGAACTCTCGGCGGCGGATCGATCCGCGCGCCATGCCGCGGCCCTCTTCCGTGGATGTGGAGCATGCGGCGCTGCAGCTGTGTCGGGAGGCGGCGAGAGCAATTTTCAGCCGGGGGGAAGCGGAAGGGTGTGTGTGTGTGTATATATATATATATATGCTACCGCCCCCTTGAAATACTCAGGTTTTTGGCCAGAACTGAGGTTTTTGGCAAGACTGGGGTGACAAATGCGTTGAGACACTGAAATGAACTGACTGGACGCTCAACTCCAGGCAAATTCCAACCAAGCAGAAGTTAAGCTCAACGTTGAAGGAGTTGCGAGTTGTGTGACCGTCACATTGGCCTGCGCGAAGTGCACTTAAAGTCACATTGGAGTATGCATAGTTCACTTTGGCAGCTCCAGCTCAAAAAGCACAACTGTCCAGTACAAGAGTAGTGCGCGAAGTATGTTTTGGCAGCTTCAACGCGCCTGTTAGCAGCTCTACTTTTTTGTGTTTCTTATTTTTTGCTTGGCAGCGAAGTTCAGCAAATCATCAACTTGGGGAAAAGGAGCTCATTCCAACTTCATGTCCTTGCGCAGTTGCATTTACATGTTAACTCGAGTGTGGTGCAGAATTCCATGTACATACTATTTCAGTCTATTTGAAACATATGTTGCAAAGCAACTATCCCATGTGTGTGTTGCTTGTCTAACTTGGTTCAATCATCGCCAATAACAACTATTGAAGTTCAAGTAAGGGAAAGATATTCAGTTTAAAACGCTTTTCGAGTTCAAACCAAATTCAAGTTTACTCGTTTGCAGTTTCTTGTGCATTTCAAAAATCAACTGGAGAAGATGGCTATTGCCATGGCCAAATGAATTTGGAATCAAACTCAGTTTTGAAAGGGTTATCGTCCTTATCGAACTTCATGTGGTTTGAACCAAGCAAGAACTGAGCCAAGCCAATGACAGGAACGTGTTTTCAATCATAGATCTTATTCTTGGCATAACTGTTGTAACACGCCGTGTTTTTCAGCATTTGCTCAGATCGTGCTGCCCTGGATCGCAGATCAGGTATACAAGATTCCACAAACATATGTTTAGAACATCCCCCCTAAAAACGTGACAGCTCATTAAGGTTTTAGATCTACCATACTTTCTATTTGATAATTTTTCCTGGCCAGCCCTCAAGTCCACAAAAAACTGTAAATATGCCAGCAACATTTTTCCCCTCCTGGCCAAATGCAGGCAGTGCAAGCGCACATCCACAGTTTGGTTCTGACAACGTGCACTCCCGGTCTGAAGAATCCGCCCTTAGGGCAATCCAGGATCTGAAGATTGAAGATTCTCTGACAACCCTCTCTGAAGTTCTCGCAATATGTACTTAGGGCAATCCAGGATGTGCTGGCTCGTGCTAGCACATCCTGGATTGAAGACAGACCACTTGTTCTGGAAATCTTCAATCTATCCTTAGGACAAACTGATGTTTGCTAGCACGTGCTAGCACATCCTGGATTGAAGATTGAAGATTGAAGAATCCCAGAGAGAGTTGCTAGAGAATCTTCAATCTTCAATCTTCAACCCAGGATGTGCTGGCACGTGCTAGCACATATCAGTTTGTCCTAAGGACGGATTGAAGATTTCCCGAACAAGTGGTCTCAGAATCTTCAATCTTCAATCTTCAATCCAGGATGTGCTAGCACGTGCTAGCACATATCAGTTTGCCTAAGGATGGATTGAAGATTTCCCGACCCAAGTGGTCTCAGAATCTTCAATCTTCAATCCAGGATGTGCTAGCACGTGCTAGCACATCCTGGATTGACCTAAGCGATGCTTGAATATAAGTCTAAAAAGGAGTGCAGTTTTAGAGGCTCATTTTTAGAAGCTGGAACGTGTGTTTCGCATTTTTTCAGCCAACATGTCAATTTCTGGCCAACAACCAAAGTATTCCAGGGGGGGGTACCATGTATACATATACATCTCTATATATATATATATATATATCACAGCATTATATAGTATAATTTGATATACTTGAACATGGTGTAATCTAATCCAATGTAATCTGCCAACCATGGCATGCTATACAAAAAAGCAACGCAGGGCATGATATAATACATGCAAGCATACACTATCACACGTCAGGACCATACCAGGTGTCCCCCAAGTTTCTGGCCGCGCTGCGGCTCTTTTTCCGAAGCATGCCCATTCCATCAACAAGCCATCGAGAAGCAAGTCCTTCAAGCATGGGGTCGGGTCTTTTTTGCAGCTCTTTGCAACAATTGCAGCTCTTCTTGTACTGCCCGTAGTTTGTGTATTTTTTTGTTGGTCTATTCATTATCTTCAACTTTTGTCTTCCACAGCTGGTGCGCAAATTGAGCAGCAACACTACCCAAGCCAACTGGTCGCCCAAGGTACCACCACACGACCACAAGGGGTCTTCAAGTTCCAACAGGGCTTAACTTTTTCGAGCCCGGTTTAGGTCTTAAACATAGCATTCCCAAAACAAGGCCCAAGGATTGCCAAACAGCGGCAGACACTTGGAAAGTCGTTTTGCCGAACCGATTTGAGTTGATTTGGGCCCACAACCCCAGATCGTCACGCCTTGTGAAGTCGCCTGCTCAATATTTCCAGCCCACATCATTGGCATCCTTTGGCGGCAAACTCAACCGTTACCAAAAAGACTGGTGACCCTCAACAGAGCTTTTGCTCCGAATCACATTTTGAGAAACTCTATGATTATCTTTACACTGCGGCCTTTGAACCTTGGTTTTGGGTTTTGCTTGCTTCTTTGCGGGGGGGGGGGGGGGGTTCTGCCAGCGCCTGGCTTTTGTTCTATTGCCAAGAGTTAACAGAAATACTATCAGGCTGATACCTTGGCGGTCCCGGCATAGGCGGAAGACCACATGCGAGACCATCACTTTACAAACCTCCGAGTCTCGGCCAAGAGAGACGGTCTGGCGGTCACTGAGTCACTCGGCACATGGCTGGTCCAGTTTGGTTCTTGAGGCTGGCGGTTTTTCAGCCTCCACATGGTGTCCAGTTTATGCGTTGCTCCAACTTTGGTTTTTAGAGACCACGGGATCCAAGTCAAGACACGTTCGCCGAAGCAAGTGGATTTCCTGGAGTTCGTGCCGGATCTGGAGACACAGACCAAATGACGGGTGTTGTTGTTAGGCCCACTGAAATAGCTTGGTCTGAACAATTTCCCTGGAAGCTCCAAAAAGATGGTTGTCCTGTTTTCCCTTACCGACCAACAGGGGTTTCCTAACAAAAACTAGACCCCCCCCCAAAAAAAGAACAAAGCATCGAGCACAAGTGCCCGAGGCAGCATCAACACAGGCGCTGAGTCCGTGAAGAGCCATTTCTCCTGTGGCGCAGAGAACGCCAAGAAAATCCATGAGCGTGCGGTGAAGCTTCTGCAGGACCGGTGGGCCGATGGCCCGATGCCCTTGCGATGTACAGCTCCCCCCCACCAAAAGAAAGACAGAAGAGCAGGGCTCCTTAAAAGATACATTTGCCCATTTGAAACATGACTTTTCCCACCCAAATCAAGGGGAACCACCATTTACAAGGCAGTGTTCAGGTGTATAATGTAAGGATCCTGGTTGATGTGATGGGTTGACCAAACAGGCAATCTTTTGAATCTGGAACCGTGGTTGAGCCTGGTTTCGTGACTTCCGTCTGTCCACCCACATCAAACCTACAAGGCTTATCCCTGTTGTCCTTCTTTCGTTTTTTTTTTTTTTCCCCTTCGATGTCTTTTTTCGGTGTTGAGGAGAAGGGCTACCTGCAGTTCAAGGCCTCCATGGGCAAGCAGGTGGCCTTCTGCAAGAAGGGGGACATGGCGCCCTGGCGACGTCCCCGCGGGTCGGTTCCGCGGGTCGGTCCCGCGGGTCCTTCAAGGGTTAAGAATCGCTGGCGCGTGAGCGCAAGGCTTGGAACCCCTGGGATTTCGAGGGAGCCTTGCCGACGTTTTTTTTTTTGGGGGGAGCGGGAACAACCCATTTGCGGTCACTGTGCTTGTGGCTTTTCCACGTTTTTTCCGGCCTTTTCTTTTGGGGGGACCCCTCAAAAGAGAGAGAGAGAGAGAGCTCGCGGCGTCCGAGGAGCCCGCGCGGGCGGAGGAGTTTGAGAAGACCTACAGCAAGCTTCTGGGACGACGGCCGCCTTTTGGAGGGGGAGCTTGCCCTCCCAAGTCGCAGGCGTCGTTTTTTCGCCCTTAAGGAAAACCGCATGTTTTTCAGGATGTGCGGAACGTCGGGTTCCATGTTAGTTTGTGGTAGGGTAAATGTTGCCACCGGCAAATCTGGGTATCAACTGTCCTCCATCGACTCACAAAGTGGGCAAGCAGGTCGGTGTTGAATTGGGTTTGTGTGTGTGAAAGCATGGTAACCTAGTTGACGCATCACTGCCTGGATGCAAGCTATCTGAGGATCCGGCCTCGCTTTTGAGTGACCCAATCATGGGTCATGAAACTGGAAAGGCTGCGGTCCTGGATCCCTGAGTTGGGGAATATGGGCATATGTGGATCTCCTGAAAGGATGGGGTAGGGGAACTCGAAAGGACCCCCCCACGCATTTGGCACCGGGCCTTCCTGTTTTGGGAAACAGATATCGGCTCCCCGATTCTTCCAATTTTTACTTGCAAGACCCGACGAGTCCCCAATTTGGGCACACAGATGTGGCCGGTGTTGGTCACGGCGGGTCTTGTGGCCTTGAGATGGGTCTGGTGCGCCCTTTGCTTCCGAGGCTGGAGGGGTCAGTGGGATCCGGTTCCGAACGGTTCGGAGGTTCCAGGATCCGCAAGGTTCACTCATAGCTTTCCAGGGTGTCGGAAATTCTGGTAGAATTCCGCAGGTTGCGGTTGGGGATGCACATGGGTGTACTTTTGCAAGGAGCCCACCCAAAGAACCCTTAAGGGTAAAGGGCTTTTTGGTAACAAAATGGTACCTCATTTGGCTCGGACTTGTCTCCACCAGCCTGTTCGTATGAGGTCATAATATCCAAATGTTTAACTTTTACCTAATAAAGCATTGTTGAATTTCCAAAAGACAAACCATGGGCATCTTTTCTAGCATGTTTATGTTTTACTACACTAAGTTCAGCTCAGAGTTCCACAAGATGGTCGCCCAGGAACGTGGATCGATTTGGACACGCATCTCCCATCTCAACCCGTGAGACGGATGTTTTGTGTGGCGGGTAGGATGGATTAACGATACGTCCAGCTCCTTTGCATTGCCCAATCTGGGGGGTTCACGGACAGAGGATGGGCATCCCGGCGAGGCTCATTTCACTTGCTCAAAAACGATTCGGGTAGATGAAGGTTCAGGGAGATGAAGGTTCAGGGACAATCCCAACCAATGGGCGCGGATATCCGGTTTCTTAATTCTTGAAGCATGGTTCTGGGCGGACCATGTTAATACCAGGGTTTGTTTGAGGCTCGGTATCCTTGGCTTGGCCATGTTGGGGTTCCAAATCCTGTGGCTGTTGGGGGGGGGGGGGGGGCAAATCCCTGGATAAGCCAAGGATAGGCCATGGACAAGCCCTCAATAAGCCTTATGAAGGGGTTAACAAGGGATAGACCTTAAGACAAACCCAAATCTCCACAACAGAAGCTTTCTTTTTGGTCGCTTTTGGGTTGGGAATATGGTGGATGCCCTCAAAAATATTGCAAGTAAACCAAGCATCGACCACAAATTCCCATGGTACGATGCCCTCTCTCCAACACTCATGGAAGTGGACAGAGGGGTTCCAAAACCCGAAAGGAAAGTATCTGTCCAAAATTCTCCGATCGTCAGCTTCTATGATTGTCTCCGAAATTCCAACCATCAACCATCAACATGCAACCGCCAACCACCAACCACCAACCACCAACCACGAACCATCAACCACCAACCACCAACCACCACAACCACCCGACGACCAACCACCCGACACCATCAACCACCAACCACTACCCACCACCAACCACACAACCACCCGACGACCACACAACCACCCGACACCATCACCCACCAACCACCAACCACCAACCACCAACCACCAACCATCAACCACCAACTTCAACCCCCAACCACCAACCACCAACCACCAACCACCAACCACCAACCACCAACCACCGACCACCGACCACCGACCACCAACCACCAACCACCAACCACCAACCACCAGCCACGAACCATCAACCAATCACCAATCACCAATCACCAATCACCAATCACCAGCCACCACCCACGAACCATCAACCACCAACCACCAACCACACCACCACCCGACGACCAACCACCAACCACCAACCACCAACCACCGACCACCGACCACCGACCACCGACCACCGACCACCGACCACCGACCACGATTTAATTCCATGGGTCTCAACTTTTTCCCCTTTGCGCAATCTATTTTTTTGATCCGCGGCCTGCGTAGCTTCGTACCTCCCCGAGGTTTGTGGAGGTGACGAAGCGGCCCGGGGAGTCCCAGGACCGGAAAGGGGCCGGAGACAAACAGACGGCTTCCTATGTTAACGAGTATCTGAGCCAACAGGGCGCTTGCGCGTGATTTTGGGGCAAAACACTGACCCACTTTGGTGCCAATCTGGCTGCTCCTGCAATCTGACTCGGCAAATTCATGCGTTCCGAGTGGGGCGCCTGATAGCCAAAAAGAAGTTTAAGTAACCAACATGGAATTTGGGTTTCCTCACCAAGCAAAAGCGTTCTACTTTGGGGTCAAAGATGCAGCAGCAAAGCAGTCCACAGGGGTGTTTGCAGGGGTTGTCAAGCAGACGCTTGCAAGCCATCAGCCATCCCCAAGTTTTGACTGGAATTGTGGAGCTCCTCTTTCTGGTGGTTGAAGGGAAAACCACAAGAACCAAACATTCTAGGTGGCCCCCCCAGTTTTGAGACAAATCCATTTGGAGCACCCTCAATCGCTGGGCCAGGTTAATTTGCGGTGCCCGGGGAATTGAGCCCGACGTGTCACTTGCTACTGGGGTGAGAGTCCTTAGCGGGCGATCAAGGCAAGCTGTAGGCTATCAGCCTTTGCGCATGGCTCTGGAATGCGAACGGGGGGCAAGGTCGGAGGCACTGAGACGAGGTGCAACTCTTTTCCTTTTGGCAAAGCCCCCAAGAGGAGCACAAGGTGCTTGGTCTCAAGGCAGCCTCGGAAGGCCCAGAAAGCTTCCTAAGGTCTTTCAGGGTCTGTGTTGGGCCCTCGCGCACTTGCCAGGAAGCAGCATCCAAAAAAAGGAAGAAGAAGGAGGAAGGCCTGTCATTGGAATGGCTCCGAAGACGCGTATTCAGCGGGGAGACCACACAGAGAACTTGAGTCGAAATCGCTTGCATGATCGAAATCGCCAGCCGAAAATCATCTCAGGGTTGAGGACAGGTGGTTTTCAGCTTCTCTCGAGGCCTGAAGGCTGGCTTTGAAGCTGCCGACGCAGGCTGGGCTCGGAGGCTCGGAGTTCCTCAGCCCTCCTGGGGAAATCGGTGCTAGTCCTGTGCCAAGGGATTTCTCTTGATCGCAACCCACGCAACAAAGTTGGCAGAGGGATGGCGAACTGTGCAAGGAGATGAACTCGGAATGGTCTTTTTCTCCACCGTGACAGCTGTTGGTACATGTCGACCGCTGACATATGCGTGTGTGCGTCCAAGAAACCGGCCAGGAAAAGCCTACAGGCCATCGGCCAACTGCACACCTGCGCACATAGTTCGGTATATAGTGCGTATTTTTGTTAGAGAGAGAGAGAGAGTTTGGTTGTTTGTTGTTTGCTTGCCTGCCTGCCTGCCTGCCTGCTTGCCTGCCTGCTTGCTTGTTTGTTTGTTTGTTTGTTTGTTTGTTTGTATGTTTGTATGCTTGTATGTTTGTTTTTTGTTTGTATGTATGTATGTATGTTTGTTTGTTTGTTTGTTTGTTTGTATGTTTGCTTGTATGTTTGTTTGTTTGTTTGTTTGTTTGTTTGCTTGCTTGCTTGTTTGTTTGTTTGTTTGTTTGTTTGTTTGTTTGTTTTTGTGTTCTGTGCGTATCTAAATTGGGCATGCCTTTTAGTCAAAAGAGTCCTGCACAGAAATCATGGTGCACATCATTTGCAAAGAGCCCTTGCTCAATGTGGTGGTGGGGGTGGGTACCTCATCCGGGCGTAGCATGTCATGTTGCATCCTTTTTCCGCTCGCGGCGTCAAGTGGTTTAGCCGAAGCCTTTGATAGACTCCCCAAATGGCCAAGTCGTCTCAGCGGCTCAGCGGTCGCGAGGCGAGTCGAAGCGAAAGTCCAAGAACGTCAAGGCGGCAACGGACCGCAAAAAGAAGGCGCGACGCCACGGCCGAAGGAGACCCTGTCGGCCGCGTGGATGACACAAAAAGCCAAAAGCTATGGGCCGTTCTTTTATGAGAAACTGGGCAAATTCGCTCTTGTGCTCCAAGATTAGGGCGCCTCCCAACAGATGGCTGTCTTTGAAGCCAAGAAGCCCATTTGCCACGTAAGTGCCCAAAGACGGCAGGACCAGACAAAGCTTCGGTTTTCCTCCGGGTTTCCAAGAAGGGGGTACCCTTCCGTCCCCAAAAAACCGGCACATGCCCACTCAGCGCCAAATCGGACACGCCGGACCTTGGTCTCCAGCGGCCTTGAATAGTTTCCCTTGAGTAGGCCATGGCAAGTGGCCCAAAAGCAGATTGCAGAGGCCGACGGGCCCGTCGCTTGAGAGATGCTTCCAAAGGTCAATCCAAATGGCCATGGTTCAACACCAATGGTACCATTTTGGGATAGGTGAATTCACCACCCATTCTAGAACCAATTTTAGTGGGGATTGGGATGTTCACTGGGGGCTAACCGGGGTTTTGACCCATGGCCAAATCTTTCAATCCACTTGGCCTGAGAGCAATCCGCGTGACAGACCCAGCCGGCCAGGCAGATGCTTCCAGCTCCGAGTCGTCCAGCAGCTCCAGCAGTGACAGCGAGAGCAGTGATGCAGGCCGTCTGGGATTTTGCAGCAGCGATTTTTGCGTGTTAAATTTTTGAAAGACAAACAGGGCGATGTCGAAGCTGAGTTTTTCGGGTGTTTTTGGGGATCACACAATGGCCTCCAAGCGTGTGGGTGTCCCAGAGTGGAGCTGAGACGGTTTAGCTCTGTGAGGGCCGGGAATCGATCGTTTCGCCATAGGCGTATTCCCAGCTGAGCTGCAAGCGCCACTTTTGAGGCCCAGAAACTCGGACACATTCAAATGTCAAGAGGACGGTACCACGTTCAAATGGGAGCAGCTTTCTTTTTCTTTCCTTTCGAGCCAACTTATGTGTCAGGTTGCACGCGCCACACGCCAACTTTTTTCCGTTTTCCAGCCTCCTTCAACCCAATCTCCCGCAGTACTTGTTTTTTGTTCAAGAAGATTGTGTTCGTCTCTGAATGAGACCACCCCCAACAACTGCTTTGGTGTGTGAGCCCCTACAGATACTGTGGTCAACAGTTCACAGGATATTGCCGAAACCAAAGCTGTAGCCTGTGGTCATGTCATCTTTGGGTTTCCTTCATCCAAACTTGGGCTCCCTCTTTCAGAAGAAATCTGGAGCAGCGCCTCCTCCTCTCTCGCGCGAGGGGCTGGCGAGACTGGCGAGAGGTGGGGGATGGGGTTTGGAGGGGGTTGGGATGCATGGCCTTCTCTGGCCACACCATGGATATGGCTGTGGGTCAAAACCATTGGGATCCATTTTGGGGTAGGTGCACTGCTCATTTTAGTTACTTTAGTGGGGATTGGGATGTTTACTGGGGGTACGATTTGGCTTTTGACGAATGGCCATATAACTGTGGATTCCAGAGGAAGTGAAGATCAGCAAAAAATTGGACCCCCCCCCTCACGCTCGGAGCTTGTGCTCACCAGAGAGAGATCAGAGGTCACCATGAGGTACGGTCGCGCATGCAGCGTGTTGGCAACTGATAGATGTACCTCGGTCCCAAAGCTAGGTGCGCTTCTCCCTCCTTTTTGGGTTGAGAGGGTTCCCCTACTAAAAGAGACTACGGAAAAAAGTGGGTACCCGTATTCTAACCTCTCCACTGGAGGACCTAGTGTAATTACCTCGGTTTCGGATTGGGGAACGGGCGAAGCTTGCCACGAACCCAAACATCTTGTGAGGGCACTGTCTTCAGGGGGCTCTTTCAGTTTCTTGTTATCCTTGGCATGTTTTGTACGTGATGTCTCTGCGCTGTAACAGCGGACCCGCGTGTTCGCATCGGCCGCATGGAGCAAACAAATCCAACGGGCTGCGTTCCGCAGGGAAGCTGGAGACGAGGCCGCGGGGCAGACTGAAGGGTGGAAGGGCTCCTCGGGGTGCTGTTTTCAAGTGGGCGAAAAGCAATGTCGAGGGGAAAGCCATGTGTGTTTTTGTGTTGGGGGGGGCAGGGGGGAGGGGTTCGCATTTCTTTTGAGGCACAACTAGGGGTCGAACACATTTTCGACAGCCCCTTATATCTGAACTATACACAGTTACACTTTGGCCACAGGCTACTCGATTCATTCGGTTTTCGAGAGGTCCTGAAAAATCAAATCGATGCTCTTTTCCACAGGATGTGGTTGACTCTTATGAAAGGGAACCCGCAGGAAGAAGACGCGCCCGCAAGAAGAAGACACGGTCCCACTCTTTTTGTTTGGGGGGTGCGCCCCTGTGCTACGAGGGCAATTGTGATTCACGAATCAAGGTATGGCCGTCAACCACCAAAACAAACAACAACAAACACATCTTTTGCTGAGGCAAATTGCCAAACCCAGGTTTCTGTTGAAACCAAGCAACATTGCTTTCCACGGCGGTCCCTTTTTATTACTTGGCTACCAGTGCCATCAATTCGTCCAAAAAGAAGCAGTTGCCCGCAAAAAACAACAACTCATGTCCCAACAAGTTGGCTGCAGCCCATATACCTATATACTTTGTATACCCTGTATACCCTGTATACCCTGTATACCCTGTATACCCTGTATTCCCTGTATTCCCTGTATACCCTGTATACCCTGTGTACAATACCGGGTATACCCTGTATACCCTGTGTACAATACAGGGTATACGCTGTATACCCTGTGTACAATACAGGGTATACCCTGTATACCCTGTATACCCTGTATTCCCTGTATTCCCTGTATACCCTGTATACCCTGTGTACAATACAGGGTATACCCTGCATACCCTGTGTACAATACAGGGTATACCCTGTATACCCTGTATACCCTGTATACCCTGTATTCCCTGTATTCCCTGTATACCCTGTATACCCTGTGTACAATACAGGGTATACCCTGTATACCCTGTGTACAATACAGGGTATACCCTGTATACCCTGTATACCCTGTATTCCTGTATACCCTGTATACCCTGTGTACAATGCAGGGTATACCCTGTATACCCTGTGTACAATACAGGGTATACCCTGTATACCCTCCTGTATACCCTGTATACCCTGTATTCCCTGTATTCCCTGTATACCCTGTATACCCTGTATACCCTGTGTACAATACAGGGTATACCCTGTATACCCTGTGTACAATACAGGGTATACCCTGTATACCCTGTATACCCTGTATTCCC